GATTCACTAGAACAAGCCATTTCCATTGCGGAACAGGAAGACTTCAGTATGAGCCAGGCTTGCGCCAGCTCGACATCATATCGTCCACCGAGACGAAATGACAGCGGAGGTCCAGAGCCGATGGAACTCTGTTATGTAGAGAGCGAGAAGGCTCGCTCTACAGGCTACAAGAAGTTGCAGAGATGCAACAGATGTCAAAAGACAGGACACTACGTTTATGAGTGTAGTGCCCTTCGTCCAGTGTCTCGCGACACTGGGCGTAGTGACCGTCCACCCATGAGAAAGGGGCAGGGACGAGGGTCCGCAGTTGGTGCAAAGACGCAACAACGGGATGGACCGTCAAAAAACGGACAGGATCAGTAGTTGCGGAGCACCCTACTGGTCCAGCAACGTCAAGAGAATTTGTAGGCCTCTTGATGAAGGTTGATCCCAACAAACAAACATTGTGCGTTGCTGCGCTAGGTAATGAGATCTCACTCATTACCTTGAAACTCGAAGTGACGAATAAGTCGTCCCTTCGAGCTCTAGTCGATTGTGGGGCGTCCAACAATTTTGTGCGACGCCAATCGCTAGAAGATGGTCACTTTAAGTTCAGTGAATGTGACACACCTCCTGCGAGGATGACGGTACGTCTTGCGACAGGCGCATCCGTAACCGTCATGAAGCGTATATTGAAGATCCACTATACGCTAGAAGATACCCAATATGACGATGACTTTATCTTATTGGATTTGGATGACAAATTTGATGTCATCCTTGGAATACCGTGGCTCAGAAGGTACGAACCACGAATTAACTGGCAACATCGAACAGTAACGATGCCTGCCGCTTGTTCATCAGATGGCCATCTGATGAACGTTTTGGAGCGTCCACAAGCGTGTGGATGTACTACGAGTGAGTGCGATGGCCTCACTTGTGGTACGGTCGTTAGTACGACTGCACAAAACCTTAGTGTACCAAACGGTTACACTTCGGAGCAAGATTCCGGCGGCTGTGAGGAAACACAGGCTGCGCCGAAGGTCCACCACTCGAATAAGTCGAGTGGACCGGGACAAAGATGTATCCCTAGCGGGGAACATCTAGAAGAGAAACAATCGATCGCTCAGGTTAAGCGAAACGATAATCCTAGATCGACTGGAGGGTCTTTCGTAGAGGATCTCGCTGTGGTTGCGCAACCACAGCAAGAGGAAGTTAGGGGAATAAGTCTTGATATTATAAATACGGCGGAAATAAGTTCCCCGAAACCCGCGGGAATAAGTCCCCGGGAAGCCGAAGGAATAAGTCCTTCGAAGCCTGAGGGAATAAGTCCCCAGGATATGACAGATACATTGAATGTCATAGTCAATAACGGATCAAGTGTAGGCGCTTATACACTTGATCTGATTGCGCCTCCGAAGTTGACTTCGGAGATCACTCAGTTGCCAACGCTCGAACATAAAAGGTTCTTGCGTGATCTGCGTAGTGGCAAAGTCAAGCAGATCTGCGTACTCGTCGCTGACGACGAGTGCGTAGCCGACATAAGGTCAGCAGCAGTGTTTACTGAGAACGAGAGACTTCTCAGTAGTTCATCTATGGACGAGAGTGTCCTAGATGAAAAGACACGAGTTGAGCGATATGACTCCCAATCGTGGGAATCGCTCAAGACAAATCCTCTCTATGAAGATTTGGTTGAATTCAAGGATATATTCTCTGAAACTGTCCAGCGCGAGTTACCAAAGGATAAAGGTACTGGACACGAGGTCGAGCTTAAACCAGGCTCGAAGTACTGTGTCATGAAGCAGTGGCCACTGCCTCGTAAACAAGTACTTGCGATCGACAAGTTCTTGCCGATCGTTTAGCTGCGGGCCATGTAAGGGGAATCAACTTTCCCACATAGCTCTCCGACCTTCTGTGTGCGAAAAGCAACAGGAGGGTGGCGGATAGTGCATGCATTTAACGAGTTGAATGCTGCAACGGTACCGGCTCAGACGCCGATACCAAGGAAGGACGTCATCACTGATAGTATGTCAAAGAGTACCGTCTTTTCGTCCATGGATTTGATGGATGGCTTCTATCAAATCCTTATGCAAGAACGGTACATACCCTATACCGCAGTGAGCACGCCTAGCGGCATGCTCTGGGAATGGCTAGTGATGCCACAAGGGCTTAGTAATACCCCTGCCACGTTCAACAGATGTGTATCACATCTGTTGAGACCAGTACGGAAATTCGCGCCGAGTTATTTCGATGACGTATTCATCCATAGTCGGGCTATGGATGGAAAGTCGGACGTTGAGGTTCACAGGTACCACATCCGACAGGTTCTTACAATCATGCGAAAGCATCAATTGTATGCAAATCTCAAGAAGTGTATATTTGCCGCAAGCGAAATACCACTTCTTGGGTGCATCGTTGGTAAAAACGGTGTACGTCCTGATCCCGAAAAGATCAAGGCGATCACCGACTGGCCTGTGCCGGTTGGTGTCAAAGGTCTTCGGAAATTCCTTGGGCTAGCGGCGTATTTGCATAAGAATTCACGCAATTACGCCGAGATGACTGTACACCTCTCTCGTTTGTTGAAAAAGAACGAGAGGTGGTTATGGAACGCTGATTGTCAGCGCTCCTTTGATGGTATCAAGCAGAGCTTGACACAATCCCCAGTCCTAGCAATAGCCGATCAGGACAGGCTATTTCGTGTGGTCTGTGATGCCTGCGATTTCGCAATCGGCTGTGCATTAATGCAGTACGATTTTGAAGGCGTTGAACGCGTCGTCTGCTATCAGTCGCGTCAGCTGCAACCAGCTGAGCGGAACTATTCAGTGCATGACAAGGAACTACTTGCCATGAAGTATGCAATCGCGAAGTTCAGATTCTATCTATTAGGAGATAGGCCCTTCCTTGTTTACACTGACCATGCGTCGTTACGCACGGCAGTAAACAGCCCGCACCTTTCACAACGAATGGCGCGGTGGTTGTCATTCTTTGCGGAATACAACTTTACGGTCGAGTACAAACCAGGACGACTTAATGTCGTCGCTGATGCACTCTCACGTCGTCCCGACTTTGAACCAGTCGTGAAACCCAACAGTGAGACAGTCACTGTTGCGGTTATGACGTCCTGAGTCCCACCTTCGACGTTGAATGATGATGTGAGGCGGGCGTATGCCCAAGATGGTGAGATTGTGAAGTTGTTGACACATCTCTCACAGCCATCTCGAGAATCGTTGAAACGATTATCGTCTGCGTATCGATCTGCATCAGATCGATACACTACTCGCAACGGTTTACTGTATCATACAGCCGTTACTGGTGACACACCACGTGTTGTCATTCCAGATGATACTGATCTGCGTTTGCGGATCATGTTCGAGTATCACGATGCTTCTATAGGAGGACATCGTGGTCGTGAGAAAGCATATCTCACGGTGAGCCGAGACTTTTACTGGCCCCGCCAGTATCAGTTTGTGCGAAAGTATGTTCGCGCATGTGAAGTATGTCAACGAGTGAAGTCGAGTCCTTCACTGCGTGCACCTTTACAGCCTCTACCAGTTCCGGCAGAGTGCTAAGAATCCACCTCAATGGATTTCGTCTTCGGGTTACCCAAATACGCACGCAAGAATACGGGTATTCTTGTATTTGTTGACAGATTCAGCAAAATGGTACACCTTGTGGCTGTACCAGAGTCAATCACGGCAAGTGGCTGTGCTTGTGTCTTTATTGACACCATCTTCCGACTTCACGGGTTGCCCCGTGAACTCGTATCAGACAGAGATCCACGATTCACTGCTGATTTCTGGCGCTCCGTGTTCAAATCACTCGGAACGCGCTTGAAGATGTCTACATCTGATCATCCAGAGTCAGATGGTCAGACGTAACGTGCCAATCTTGTCCTCGAAGAGATACTTCGAGGATACGTACACTCCTTAAAGAGTTGGAGTGAGTTTTTGCCAATGGTAGAATTTGCCATTAATAACTCGGTGCATGCGTCCACGACACATACACCGTTTTGCGTGAATGGCTTTCGTCATCCGCGTGTACCCACCTTACTAGAGTGTTACTCTGGTTTAAGGGGGGGAGAGACACGCGCGATCAAAAGCCGATTTGGTTCACGCTCATCACGCTCTGACGAAGAGGTCATTGCGTTTGATGCCGATATCGACAACATCGATATCGAAGACGATGATGCCAGTGCGAGCGAGGAAGCCCTCACTGAAGAAACGATTGATGTTGCTGCATTGCACTCACAGCGCACTGAAGCTAACGAGTCAGCAGATGAGTTCATACTGGCTCGTGAAACGGTAGTCCGTTTTGTGCAAGACTCCATCGCCGAAGCGGTGGATAAGCAAAAGCAAAACGATGACAAGAATGGAAGGGCAAACACTCTTTTATTTAACAAAGGTGACTTAGTCCTACTGTCTACGGTTAATCTACCAAAGCATGTAGTGACTAACTTGGGTAGCAGTAAACTACTACCCAAGTACATCGGTTCATTTCTTGTATTGCATCGCCTAGGCAACGCATACACGATCGAACTGCCACGTAAGATGCGAACGCATCCCACGTTTTACGTTGGTCGGCTTAAGCCGTACCATCAGTACGCTGTTTCTTCCGATGACAAACGCCCTTGTGCCTAAGCATCTCACAGAGGGCCTTGTGCTCCCGATGGTGGATATCAACAAGGGTCTGAAGAGCAGTTTTCTCATCCCGAGACCGGTCAATATCCACACGAGATACCCTTAGCTCGTCATGCAGAGATGTCAAAACTCTCTCTCGTTCTCAAGCTGAGCAAAGGCAAACTCAGCTCGATGCTTCAAGACAGTGTCCGCCAGTTGACGACGCATGTCCCTATCATGCTCGAGGTCGCCGCGCAACGCAAGAGTTACGCGATCAAAGAGGCTCTAGGGGATACACGCTTCCCCACTATAGCTTGGAGAGCGGTTTCCCTCCTCCTCTACCTCCTTTAGAGGACTATCGCGGTGGCCAGCGCTATCTGGAAGAGCAGCTGTGAAACCACCGCGATGTTAACGGACGTCGGACGAGTTACCTCGTCCGTTGGTGCGGTTTTTCCCCGTCCTGGGATACTTGGGAGCCCCGCTCCCAACTGATGGTTGACGTACCGGGTCTGGTTGAGCAGTACGACGCGGCACATCCTGTGCCGCAGAAGGACCGCGGGAGAAAGGCTTCCCGGCACGGTCGTAAAGGGATTTCAGCTTGTCAATCCCTTCGTACATCTCAGTAGAGATACGTAAGCGCCACCACGGGCTAGTAAGGAGGTAAGCCTCCTTAGGTGCTCGTGCAGAGTTGTTTACACAACAAGGGCACGGGTCTCCCCAGGAAAGACAGGGTAACCCACCCTCCTTTGACATACAATGCAGCTTATAGCGTGCACCTGTCGGGGCCTTTTTCTCAAACTTATCACGAGCTTTGATAAGTTTGTCGTTCCAAACGTCAAGACCTACATCCTCAAAGTTATGGATGTAAGCGTTCCACGCTTGAAGCAGTGAGGGACCATCACGTTTGTGATTCGCACTGTACCATCGATGCTTAAAGAAGGACTCGATGAATATTCATGCTTAGTGTGATAGTCTTTCGTACTGGGGTCAAGGTGATAGATCCTTGATGAATCGAACAATCGTACTCGATAGCGATCACTTGTCGTCGCCGACAAGCGATCCATGACTGACTTTGGAGGCAGCCATGCTATCTTTTAGGGAGCGAGACGCAACATGCTGCGATCCCGCTCTTCCTGCGACGTGCAGACAGAAGTACTGGCACCTCGTTGCGAATCGGTGTCAATAGGAGAACCAACATCACTGTGAGCGCCCGAGTCTCGCGACCTCGAGCGCCTTCGCTTCGGCGATGGTTCATCTGATTCATCAGATGAACCAAAGATGCTGCGACGCAAAGCATCGTCCATGCCACGCTTGGCAGGCGGCTTAGATTCAATCGCCGTCGATACGGATCCGTCTTCCGTATCAGGAGAGTATGAAACATCGAGCTCATACTCTGTGAAGACATGAGTGTCTTCATGACCAGCGTCTGCAGCACCAAGTGATACAGACTGAGACGATTCAGCAACCGATGAGACATCAGTTGCTGTGGTTTCTGCTTCGGCGTCCGCACAGAGACGTGCGGACGCGCTCTCAGCGGCCTTATTAGCGCACCGCATAGACTTGTTAACCATGCGATGAAATTTATGGACCGTGGACTCGGACCAAAAAGTGCTAACCCTGTCCCAAATGATTTGGGACGAGTATCCATTTAGTCAATCAGTCACTAAAGTGACTGATGGTTAAGGGGGGTGATGTAATGGGGTGAACCGTTACATAACAACTTATAAGAAACTGTTAATAGAATATACTGTAAGATTTATATTCTCAGAATATTGTCATAAGAAAAAATATGCTGCAGCACTTGCGAGTATTTCCTAATTGGTCGATATAGGCCATTATATCAACCAACGAAGACGCGCCACGACTGACGCACGCACTGAGTGGTGAGCAGATAACTGATATACACATTTGGATTTAGACATAGTTAGATGATGATAAATAGTGGTTTATTGACAGACATTAACTATTATGAATACAGCTCTACTTTTTACTTTAATCAAGTACTCGCTTCTTCTTACCGTCTTCCTCTGCACGTACGAGTGTACGTGAAGTTCCGAGGCCCCGCCTTATTCTGTGGTCAGAATTAGTAGCTTGTACTGTCATCAGTACAAGCTTTAGGGTGTCCCGTTACACCTGGGCAACTCGGGCAGAATGCGGCGTCGGTAGAAGCTGTGGCAGAAGCAGGCAGCTACAGGAGAATGTGGCAAAGTCACTACTCAAATTTTGTACGAGGATCGGTGGCCACACCTTTAAAGCGCCGCTTACTGGTGGAAAAGGAGGCCATGAGACTCGGCGATCCAATACGGAGGTGAAAGATGATCTTAACGGGATCGGCGAACCGATCCAACTGTCGTTAGACTAATGGGTATGGATAGACCTGGGACGGAGCGATCTGGAACGATTTACATGGAACAATCTGGGACAAGGATCTGGGACCGGGTGATGGGATATGACTCTGCGACGAAGGTGTAACATCTTGCAGAATGTTATGGGGTGATCTGGAACCAGACGTCGGGATGAAGTCATATAGCTCATTGGAATGCCGGTCAAGAAGAAGTATACGTACATTGAAGCAGGCTAAGATCAGATCGCAGATCGACATGTTGTGGCAACGGTTTGTTGGAGAATTGACACATCTGGGACAAGGTGACTCCCCAAAGTGCATCTGGGACCAGGTGGTACGGGTCGGTGAATTGGCACAGAAGGTGCAACACCATACGGATCGGTGATACTCTTTACCGATCCTAAATTGGGAGTACTGATTTTGGTTAATTATGCACCGATCTGGAAGTTTTGCATACTCAGGGGAGTCAAGGAAACCGATGTCGAGACGTATGAATGAAGTTGTCGATTGGATAACACTGGAGGATGATATTGAAGCACGTATGAGGAGATGAAAAAGTGTTAATTGCCGATTTAGACCGGATCGACCTCCAACATCTCGATATTGGATGACAGATCGGTCATGTTCCACACTGATCATGAATATATGGTTGATGAAGATACTGGATCATGTGGAATATACTTGATAGAGGTCACTAAGTGATGTCAAGAAGTTTCATGCCGAAAGAGCCAGTGGAAGCTGTCCGAATTGACGTCGCAAAGTGAATTTGGACACATTCGGCATTTTGGGTCATATATTGGGTACTTGGGTGCCAAGAATGGGTATTTGGTACCATATAGGAGATTTTGGTCCATTGGGTTCTCTAGGTACGATATCGGGGATATTGGCGCTATCATTGGAGTACAGGGCACGAAATTTCGACACGTGGCAAGGGGGCGAACCAGATTCAAGGCGATATCGGTTTGAAGAGTGACCTATAGTTAAGAATAGGCTTAAGGGTAGGTTGGATAGTAATTTGGTTGGTTAATAAACAGACTTGAACTCTACTTCTTCTGCTCACGACGCACGTTATCCTCCCCTCTTCTCCAGGCAAGATTGATTTGGCTTCCCCGGCGGGTTAAGGCACGCGTGTTACAGGGACACAGAAGACCGATCTTGGATTGTTGGCCAAGATCGAGAAGAGCGATCCCGGGATATCTGGCCCGGATCGATCAAGTACTCACACTCAACTCAACTGCTAGGGTAGCAGCACACAACGGAAAAGGAAAAGGATTTTGGACACAGGATCGCGAGACGGCTCAAGTGGTCAGAAGATCTGGACAAGGCGTTCAAGACAAGACCGAGCAGGATCGAAGCGATCCCCTGGACAGATCGGCACGTTTCATTTTGGCGAAACAAGACACCGATCTACCCAAATTGCGCACTTCCGGCAAGATCGGCCGATCCCAAGACCAGATCGGACCGATCCCAAGGCAAGATCGACGCAGGACTTTTATTTGCTGAGTGAAGATTTCCGCACAGCAAAGACCCCGATCTCGAAGACAAATCAAGATCGGTGCGATCCAAGATCGGGATCGCAGAACCCCCGTTCGTGGTGTGAAGATTTCCGCACCGGAAGCGAACCCTCAACCCAACCTCTCAGCGAGATCGACATCTCCCAAGGCCGTTACGAAGAGCTCAAGCCAGCCCAACCGACGGGTACACAAGGTGAGCACAAGGTCATACAACAAGGCACGGATCGGAGTACCCCCTCCGTGAGTCGGCAAGTCTGGGCAAGTGGAAGATCGACACTCATACAAGCAATTTTGTGAGATCGACTTCACCACAATGGTGCGCGTGCCCGGATCTTCTGAGGCCTCTGGATTTCACCGTGAGTCCACTGGCGAAGATGTCAAGATTAAGCAAGAACCTGGGATTGAAGTGTCAGCGACAAAGGGATCGACGCAGACACGCAGAAGCACAAGATCCTCAGATCATCAGAGTTTTGGGAGGGGCTCTGATGAAATGAAAATGAAAGAGGAAGATCGAGAGATCGATCTGGAAGATAAACCTCAATTCCCTCCTAGGGTCCCTTCGGGGGCCACCGCAGATCGCTCTGCAAAGAGCGATCTGCTGGATGAAAATCCAATGGTGAAAACCAAATCGGCGAAAGCCAAACCCTATATCTTAGTCGATAGATCGCCCGACCTCAAGCCGAAGAGCACAATCGCGAGATCGACCACATCAGAACGATCCGCGACGAGATCGATGGGATCAGATGTCAAAGATCGCCAGATCGGCCGAACCGTGCAATCAAAGATCGGAGCCAAAGAGGAATACGATGAAACACCAGATAAGATCGCGATGCCAAAGACGGAATATAACCCAATAAAGATCGCGTCCAGGGAGAAGGAGACGACGGGTGAAGCGCGGGAGCGTGCAAAATGGCAGTACTATTATGGCCAGTTGAAGACGCTGCTCAAGACGGACCCAGTGTTCAAGATATTAAGGCCCAAGGTGATTGGTCCTCTGGATAAGCCGATCTCGGTCCCACTTCACGGGACCAACAAAGTCGACGAGATCAATTTGATTTTGCAGATGTTGGACGACATGGGTATCTGCCCTGACGCTTTTGATGGAGATGAACTGCTGAGTTGCAGCTTGGAACAGTTGAAGGACGCGGCGAATGAGTTTGTAGAGATCATGATAATGCTGGTGGGCAAAGCGAATACTCCTGAAGACAAGATCGGGACGCCCTCGGGCTCGCTCCGTAAACACCCCGCGGGATCGCCCGCTACGCCTCGGATGACTCCGAGAGCGAGTCAGATGGATCCATCAGCATTCGTCAGATGTCTCTAGGACCATCGGGTGGAAGGTTCTTAAAGGACAAGATCGGACAAGCCAAGATCGACGCCTATAAGGGACAAGCCAAGAGCAACATGCCGCAGAGATCGGCCAGTACCCGCACTGGGCTGGAGGATCAAGAAGAGGGCGATCTAAGTCGGTACTTCAATTCAGCCATGAAGAAGTACGAGGCGGATCAACGTACAGCTCAGCGAATGAATCGACAGCCAAACCGCTACCCAGATCGACGTACTTTGCTCCAACCTTCACACGAAAGCCTTGACATGCCGGATGTGGAGATGGAGTCGGTGGGGTCGGACATTTACCAACATATCCATGAGGCGGCGGAATACGACCCGGATGATCTATGGATGCCCGAACCACGGCGCCCTCATGTAGCCGCGACCGGTGCGACTACCGGAGGGGAAGCATCACGCAGAGGATCAGAATCTCAGCGATTTCTGAGCTGAAAGAATTCTCAGGGAAGGATCGGGAAGAAGACAAAGCACGGACCTGGATCGGCAAAGTGAAATCAGCGTTTATCCGGGACCAAGCACCGGACGAGGAGAGATGTCTGGTCTTCGGTGATCTCATGGTGGGCCCAGCCCGCTACTGGTACCGACAGCTGAGTAGATCGACGAGATTCAATTGGAAAGAATTGATGAACAGTTTTCTTGTGGAGTATGCGGGACACGGGATGTCCGCGAGCAGGCAGTACTACCATGCAAAGAAACGATCGGAGGAAGATCCTTTACAGTACCTGTATCGGCTTAATGTGATGGGAATGCAGGCGAAGATACCGGTGATGACTGGATTGCCAGCTGCGCGCAAGGAACATGTCAATCATTTCATTGACACCTTGGACGACCCCGATCTGTCCAATCAATTGCTACTGCTGAATGTAGAAGACGCGGAGGCCATGCAAAAGACACTGCACGGATATCAACAAGGGAGATCGCGTCAAGGGAAAGTGATGATGGGATCGTCCAAATTCAGGCAGAAGGGAACTCAGGGTCCAGCGCTGTCTAAGCCTGCACGAGCGGTAAGGATGGTCCGTACCGAGGACGTCTGCAGCGAGTCAGGATCGGACACCTGCGGATCGGATTTGGAAGATCGATTGATATCGATCCATGTGGCTGCTACTGCGGATCGCCGTTCATCCCCCAATGACGTTGCAGCAAACGCGAGATCGGTCGACCCGAACACTCGTCAAGACTATCAAGATCGCAATATGCCATTGAAGCCGTGTACTCATTGCGGATCGACCAAGCATGGAGATCTCGGTTGCTGGAAGCGGCTCACTTACCAGAAGTGTGGGCGTAAAGGACACCCCTCTGACAATTGTTTTTTCGTGTGTCGTGCTTGCGGTGAGATGCACGGCCCGGGGAAGTGTCCCATGGAGGAGTTCTACAACATGATCCGTCAGTGGTACGTCCCGAATAAGCATGCGGGGATGCTACCAGAGAAGGCCGAGAAGATGTTAAACTAGGACGCTCGCCAGGTTTGAATCTGGTACGAGCCGAGCGTTCTGGGCTCTGCATTATTGCATACGTGGAAAAAAGAAGACAGATCGCGAGAGTAAGCAGGATATTGACGTGGAAACAAATATATCTCGTTCGAAGTTAAAACGTGTCGCTTCCGTGTCCCATCTGAAGCGGATCGATGAGTACTCACGATCTGAACCAGCTATGGAGATCGAGCTCGCTTATGGTGAATCTCGCGGATACTGGAAACATTATTCACCCGGGAAGTGGTTCAAACAAGCGAAAGCCGTTGGCAAGATCAACAACGTAAAAGCTACTCTGTTATTTGATTCTGGTGCTGAAGTGTCGATCATTGACACCACCTTTGCTCGTGAGGTCGGTTGCAATATTGACGAAAGTCAACGACAAGAATGTATCGGGATTGGAGAAACTCCGTACATGACGGTAGGACGTACCAAGATCAAGGTGACCCTCGCGGGATCGCTGGTATACTATTTCAATGTATGGGTAGGCGATCTGGCAGGGCAAGAAGCGATTCTGGGTATGGATTTTATGGTGCCTGCTGGAGTGCGGCTCGATCTAGCGGATGGCGCGCTATGTCTACCAGAAGAAATCCGCATTCATCTCGCAGGACGTCGCCCCGCGTACGGATCGAAGATACAACATATAACGGCGAAGGACCAACACGTGGTGATCCCGGTCGGAGAGTCAAGGGAAGTGAAGATCGGGATCGGAGGGGCTAAGATGAAGTTGTGGGTCGCTAGAGGACTAGATTGGGTCCCCACTGTGATCTCGGGGTGGGGTAAGACGAAATACCTGCAGATGACCAACATTGGCGACCGTGAGATCATACTGCCCACCCACACTATATTAGGCATGTGGGTCGAAGGCGATATGGTACCGCGAACCCAAGGTTTGGTGACAGTCGGGTCGGGGAAGTACAAGGAATGGCAAACTCTGGCATATGAGGCTACGACGGATCGAGTGAACGAACTCCCGAAAGAACCGATCGGACCATTGGTAGATCGTCCTACGTATGCCGCTCCCAAACGCATCTTGAAACGTCCGTCTGATGCGTTACAGAACCCTGTCTCCGGCGATCTCCACGGTAACGCCGCAAGCTAACGATGACGATTCGCAAAGGCAGATGCTGTAGTTGCGAGGAAGTAACGGTCAGGGGAGCCGAACTATCGCGGATGGAGAACGGTCATGAGATCGGTACCCAACATGCAACGAAGGGAGACCGCGACACCGGGCAAGAAGGGCTACGTGACAGATCGTCTCTACCGAAGGCTGAGCCGACTGACCGACTGTTGAAATTGGGCCAGCCGGAAGAGACGAAGGAGCCTAAAGAAGAAATAATGCTAAATACTGAAGACGTCGAGATTGCAGAAATACCAGTTTATCACCACGAGAGCGGAGATTTGTTTGCGGAAGATATCGAGCAGCATATGGCCGTGCTACCAGAGATGTCGGCGACTACGGAAGAAGTTACGATTGAGGACATTCAGATCGGTGATCCCGATGTGCCTCTCACCACAGATCAACAACGGCTCAGATCGCTGATCTGGAAGAGCCGTCACCTCCTCATGGGTAAAGGTAATGCTCTACCACCAGCAGCACGAGGCGCGATCTGTGATATTGATGTCGGTGGGGCAGCACCGATAGCGCAAGTGCGTCGGTCGCACCCAAATATCGGGAGAAGCTGTCAGATCTCATCAAAGGACTATTAGCAGCCAAAATCGTTCAGCCATCCACGTCACCTTGGGCGTCTCCGATAGTGGTGATCATCAAGAAGAACGGAGTGGATATTCGCCTTTGCATTGATTATCGAAGAGTTAACCAGCTGACGCGTCTGATGGTTTATCCCATGCCGTTGATCAGCGATCTGTTGGAAGATCTGGATAAAGCTCTATGGTACTGTTCGCTAGACATGGCTAGTGGATTTTGGGTCGTCGAAATGACTGAACGAGCAAAACTGATCTCAGCGTTTGTCACACCGTTTGGCTTGTTCGAGTGGCTGCGAATGCCTTTTGGGCTTAAGAACGCGCCCCAGATCTACCAACGTCTGGTGGACAATGCGTTGTATGGATATCTCAAGATCGGCCAGAGATCAGCTTCTGATGGCCCGATCGACGTGTTCAAAGATGGAGAACCTGAGACAGATCGACGACCGTCTATACTGGGACGCCGATCTTACATTGACGATATTCTCATACCAGCCACGTCATGGGGATCTTTGTACACAAAAGTAGAACGGTTGCTGGAGGCATGTGATAAGTGGAATCTGTCTATCAGCCTCACGAAGAGCTTTTGGGGGTGCCATAAGGTCGATTATTTGGGACATCGAGTGTCGATGGATGGTCTGGAGAGCTCAGCCCAAGAACCTAGAGTCGTTGGTTAACATCCCGTTTCCTAGCACGCTACGAGCTATGCAATCCTTTCTCGGGAGCTTGAACTACTACCGTCGCTTCATTGAGGATTTCGCGGTGTATGCCGCGGTGTTGTATGAGTTAAGAGAATCGGATTTCTTCGAGATCGGCCGATCTCAGCTTGCAGCAGGAGACGAATGCTCCAACGAGGGTCGATGGACGGAAGCCAAGGTTGCTTTCACTATGCTAAAAGCTAAGATAGCTACAGCTCCCATGCTCAAGCATTTCGACCCAGATCGGTCCCCCGTAATCGTGGTCTACGCTAGCAAGTGGGCTGTCTCAGCGGCCCTGATACAGGAGTACGATGGCGTGTACCATCCGGTGACGTTTACTAGCCGCACTTTAAAGCCTAATGAGCTTAACTACGGAACGGTAGAAAAAGAAGTGCTGGCGCTACTTCGTGTGTTGGATGTATGCTATACTACGCTTGCCTCGCGGGGAGATCACTGTACTGACCCGACATTCTACGTTAGCCTGGTTGATGCAGTCTCGAGGGCTCAACGGGAGAGATTAGGACGGTGGGCTGCTTTGTTGTCAAATTGGACTATGGAGGTGAAGAAATGTGAAAGAGGAGAGGAAGAGATCCTGGGCATGTTAGCAGCGAGTATCACTCCGAGAGGAGAAGTGGAAGAAATGCTGATTGCGATCTCCCCACGAAAAGACTGTCGACTCAAAATATCGATGCCTCCTCCAACGGTGGAAACAGATGAGGAGTTGCTGGTGGCCAGTTTCGATGGATCGGCTAGGATAAAAAAGAAAGGAGGGTCGTTCAGTGCCGTGATATGGAAGTTACCCGAATGGACGATCGTGGCGGCCGAATCGAGATATGTTCACGATCTGACTGTGAATTAAGCTGAGTATAATGGCTTGCTACTGTGCTTTGAGTTACTCGCCGATCTGGATAGGGGGCGAGTAATACTGTGTGGAGATTCCAGTCTGGTGATTCGACAGATGCGCGGTGAGATCGACTGCAAGGCACCGGGCCTTCAGCTTCTGAGACACAAAGCGTTGGAGAAGCTGCAGTCATGGCCTAGTCACGAGTTTCTGCATATGAAGCGAGAATGGAATCAGAGCGCAGATCGACTAGCCAGCACAGCATTGCAGAGCGAAAAGGGAAGAACGGTTGTAGCTGAAGAGGATCGGCAAGATCTGATGACTCTGAACCGTCTCGATGAATTGTTGAAGCCCAAGCAAGATGGTCAGCTAGCTCGGGTAACTGCGATCGCGAGATCAGCCAGGAGGATACGTCATGAACCTGAAATGATACAGGAGGAGATAGTACAGAGGATCAGGATTCAACAAATTGTCCAAGCTCAAGATGAAGAGCGTTGGATTGTCAATCTCAAGACATACCTAAGTGGCGATGTATCAAACTTGGATGCGGTAGAAGTGAAGATGTGCGCCAAACTGGCGCCGGAATACGAGATCGATGAGAACAATCTGCTATTTTTTTGCCCCATGGCGAAAAGAGAGTCGGAAGATCGCGATGGTTTGATGCGGTTGGTGATCCCTGAGACGTTGCAGCAGGATTTTTGCATCACTATCACACGAGTCTGGAAGGAGGCCATCAGGGTATTGGCCGAACCTATCAGAGGATCAGATCGCGATTTCATTGGAGAGGACTGTATCGGAGCGTTCAACGATATGTGGGCGAATGTACCGACTGTGAGACCGGGAAAGGAAACCCGATGATTCATGGGAAATCCCCGGGCAATCTACACGCAACCTATCCATTCCAGATCATCGCCATGGATCATATACCGTCGTTGCCCAAGTCCATCAAGGGGAACACCGAACTGCTCATTTGGGTCGACCTTTTCTCGGGATATGTAATTGCAAAGGCTAGCTCCTCTCGGACGGCACAAACAATAGCGGAGAATTACGAAGAATGTGTGTTTCGACGCTTCCGGAGCTAGCGAGGCTATCAGGCACGATCGAGAACCGGGATTTATGTCCGACTTCTTTCGAGCCTTCAGTCGGATCGTAGGACAAAAACAGCGTGCTACTATGGCTTACAGGCCACAAGCAAATGGAACAGCCGAACGAATGGTGCAAACCCTGACACATTCGCTCAAGATGTACGTGACTGAAGTTGACCAGCGAGACTGGGATGAGTATGCTGAGCGGCTCACATTTGCCATTAACACTGCACAAGATCGGATCCGGGGGGATACCCCATTTTATCTGATTCATGGGTGGGACCCGCGATCGACTTTGGAGGCTACGCTACCAGTGGGGAATACGGGGACATGAGATCGCGATCCAAAGAGGTGGAGATACAAAATTCAAAGACAATACCAGCGAGCCCGATCTGTAGTGAACGATCGTTTACAAGCCGCAATCCAGGAGCGAGCGGATCGACACAACGAAGATCTGGAACCACACGAGATCGAAGTAGGAGCGCAAGTTTGGCTATACCTGGACCGAGTTAAAGAGGGATATGCGAAGAAGCTAGCGCACATGTGGCATGGGCCATTCCGAGTTGCGGACGTATGTGGAGATCATGCTGTAAAATTGGAGATCGCTGGAACCCCGTATCGGTTATTTCCGATTGTACATATATCGAAGCTAAAAAAGGTAAAGACGTTCCCTGAACGCCCGAAGGATCAGCTTACGATAGAGGAATCAGATCGCTTGGATTTCGATGAAGCTCTGCTGCCAGAAGACAGTTGGGATGGCGATCTTGAAGAAGGGGGAATACGAAGTAGAGGCAATATTGGACGTGCGATCTGGTAGAAAAACCCGTTATGGGCGAGTACACCGGCAGTTTCTGGTGAAGTGGAAGGGATATCCCGATCTAAGTTGGGTGGACGAGGCCGATCTAAGTTGTGGGGCGATCTTGCAAGAGTTTGAGCGGAACCGAGTGAGTCGAAACCGTTTCGACGTAATGCAGTCTCATGAAGGCAAGTCGGACGAACCTTAACAGTTCGAACAAGTATGCGGGAGGTAGCATATGCGGATGTAGGGGTTGAAAGATGTGCTAGACGGTAGCACATGCTGGTGGATGAGGTTTTTGTATGTGAGTATAGAGATAGTCAAGTGAATTACCTTCCTGAATGATGTGGAGCGAGGAGGATCGAGATCGTGGAAGTTGCAAAGAATGGAAGTACCAAAAAAGAAGATGATTGAATGACTTACACGATTATGAAAGACGATTGGGCTTGGATATCGATCTTGGACTAAGACGATGGAGCAGGTTTGAACTTGTCCTGCAGACGAGGGATCTGCGATCCGGGATGATCCCAATAGGCGTTACGGAACTGGTTGCGCCAAGGATCCTCTTGGTCTGCCATGTCCAACGCCTCTAGCAAGTCAGCTGGGTCGTTAGAGTGTCCTAACCCTGGATACCAAACTCGGTCTTCATGTGGGCGCGGATAGTGGAGGAAGAAGGGATCTAGCAAGATGTCGAGATCGCAGTGGCCAGCGATCATGCCGCTGAGTATCATCTTCAAGAAGTTCTTCCAACGCGCCCCAAAGCGAGAACGGCGTTGTTTTTGTTGGCGCCAGAATGTCTGCATGAACCGTTCAGATCGCCGTTGAGCCGGAGGAATCGGGAAAGCATGAGTAGATTCCCACAGAGCTTGTGGATGAGTGGACTCAAGCCCTAGGTACCGATGACTCATATAACGATACCATCCAGTCATGGTGAACGATATCGGGTTCACTGGGACTATGATATTATCCCGAGGGGCTGTAGCTTAAAGAGCCTCGATGTGTTGCCGCGAGATCAGCCCAGAAGCCCAAGTCCCCGTGGGCGGAGCTCGTCCATGATTGTAGATGGGAAACAGAAAATTCCTGGGTTTGGAGAAGTGGTGAAACAACAGCTCAATGGTCATGGTCCTCACGCAAACCATCGCGATCCGCGAAACGGACCATGGAGCAATCTCGGAAGCTACCCGTCGGGAGGGCGCCAGATAGTTGAGAATCCACCGATCCCGTGGTTGCTGATGTGGCGGAAGATTGTCGAAGTCAACGGAAGAGAAAACTCTGTTAGCCACTTGGCGTGCCGGAAGGGTGATGCTGTTTTTGCTATCGGACGAATGGCGATCCGAAAGCGTAGTGGACTCCGGAGGCGGACTAACAGAGCCAGTCTCGCTGTGTGTCTCCCCTGTCGGCGATACCTCCACGTCTTCTACGCCGCCATCATCTTGAATTTCGACTACGGGATAGCCGCGACCGGAGTGGATGGGTACGAAAGATAACGAGGCTCCGGAACGTCTGGAGAAGGCGAACGCAACAGTGCTTGAGCCAACGCAGTAGCTGCGGGAGAAGCGGGAACAACCCGAGCGGCCGGAGAGGGGTTCGGGGTCGAAGATCGGGCATTCGATCTAGGTTGACGACGAGCGGCCGATCTCGATTGGGATAATGCAGCACGAGTCAAATCATCCGAGCTAGAATCCGACTCGGTCAGCTCCTCACTTCCCGATCCAGTCCCAGAAGCCGCGGACGAAAGCGGAGAACAAGAAGAATTGGGTGGAGGCTCGGGTGGGGCCAATCCGGGAAGTTTGTTTAAAGGCATTGAAGGGTTCAACGACAATAGCCGGGAAGCCACACGGGCGGTGGAAGAATCACTGGATCGTGACCTTGGTTGAATACGCCGACGCTTGGCAGGCGGGCCGGACGATCTCGATCTGGACCTACGGGCAAGCGATCTCGATCCCGGGGTAGTGGGAGCAGGGGGCGATCCGGCCGGAGTAGCACTCTTAGACGTCGATCGAGCGGTCAACGCAGACGAACGGGATCCGAGTATAGCACTGTTCAGTGTGTCGAGGAGAGCACGGTGTTCAGCTATAGCCTGATCCCGATCATGCTCCACCACCTGCAACTGGTCGTGTATCTCGAGGTGTTCCGCAAGCTGACGACGTAGGTTGGCGTTCTCCGCCTGCGAAAGTGCCAACTGACCCTCTAGGGGAGTCAAACCATCCACTTGTTGTATGAGATCGCTGATCGAAGACAGTCCATCTGCGATCTCCTCCTGAGACTGAGCCAATTGCTCCTTCAAGTGCAAAAAATCTATGTGAAGGAAGGACCTGTCCATGGTCAGCTGATCACGCTGCTGTCGGAGAGAATTGAGTTCGGCTTGGAGCGAATGAAGCTGAGCCCTCAAAGCATCCACCTGTCGTTCCAAGTTCCCCTGAGCCTCGTCGTTGGCACATATCAAAGTGCGTAGCCGACGAATCTCCTCCGATTGATCTCGATATGTCCGCAGAGCTCGATTGCAATCACTCAAATAATGCACTGCATCGACGTAGCGGCCCTGCATTCAGTCATATCGACGCTGGACGAAGGAGACAAAAGGAGCAGCTGATCTGTACAGCGAATCAAGCTCGTCTTGTAAGCGATCCCCCCGGACGACGGCATCTCGGTAGGACTGCTGGAGCGCATGAATGGTGTCGGCTTGGCTGCAGAAGGTAGCCTCTCGATCCCACAAATACGAGATCGTGGCCATCGTGAGACGAACGTCGTCGGCAGAAACTCTGGGAACGAAGCCGGTGACGCCCACAGCTGGAGCAGACCTTTCACGAGATTCATTAGCGGCCGGGATGTCGGATCTGGACGCATCTGGGGCCGCCGGAGGAGTGGGAAGCGGGAATGGCTCGGAGGAACGATCTGATAATTCCGCGGCGGTCGAGAGTGATCCGACCGATCTGGGATTACTGAGAGACTCATGTTGATCTGGGACGATAGGAGCGTACCACCCGCGATCCGGCGATCTAGATGGCGAGCCTCGGGATGGAGACGAGGGTCTGGTCGGCTGTCGATCTGGCGATCCTGTGGGGATTGTGGGCGATCCGGTTGGGCCTAGATGGCGCGGAGACCCAGGCCGATCGGGGACCGCTGGGGTGTGTCCTCCGAGATCGGGCGATCCGGGCGACAGGTCGCGATCCGGAGACAGAAACATGGTGGGTCCTTCTGATGAGATCGGCGAGGTGGGTGGATGCGTCGGAGAGGCCATGAGACGGACTTGAGTGCTTGGAACGAAGTTGATGAGTGACTGTACTGAGGTCAATTGCTGTACAAAAGACTTCATACAGGGGGCGGTTGTGGCAAAGTCACTACTTAAATTTTGTACGAGGATCGGTGGCCACACCTTTAAAGCGCCGCTTACTGGTGGAAAAGGAGGCCATGAGACTCGGCGATCCAATACGGAGGTGAAAGATGATCTTAACGGGATCGGCGAACCGATCCAACTGTCGTTAGACTAATGGGTATGGATAGACCTGGGACGGAGCGATCTGGAACGATTTACATGGAACAATCTGGGACAAGGATCTGGGACCGGGTGATGGGATATGACTCTGCGACGAAGGTGTAACATCTTGCAGAATGTTATGGGGTGATCTGGAACCAGACGTCGGGATGAAGTCATATAGCTCATTGGAATGCCGGTCAAGAAGAAGTATACGTACATTGAAGCAGGCTAAGATCAGATCGCAGATCGACATGTTGTGGCAACGGTTTGTTGGAGAATTGACACATCTGGGACAAGGTGACTCCCCAAAGTGCATCTGGGACCAGGTGGTACGGGTCGGTGAATCGGCACAGAAGGTGCAACACCATACGGATCGGTGATACTCTTTACCGATCCTAAATTGGGAGTACTGATTTTGGTTAATTATGCACCGATCTGGAAGTTTTGCATACTCAGGGGAGTCAAGGAAACCGATGTCGAGACGTATGAATGAAGTTGTCGATTGGATAACACTGGAGGATGATATTGAAGCACGTATGAGGAGATGAAAAAGTGTTAATTGCCGATTTAGACCGGATAGACCTCCAACATCTCGATATTGGATGACAGATCGGTCATGTTCCACACTGATCATGAATATATGGTTGATGAAGATACTGGATCATGTGGAATATACTTGATAGAGGTCAATAAGTGATGTCAAGAAGTTTCATGCCGAAAGAGCCAGTGGAAGCTGTCCGAATTGACGTCGCAAAGTGAATTTGGACACATTCGGCATTTTGGGTCATATATTGGGTACTTGGGTGCCAAGAATGGGTATTTGGTACCATATAGGAGATTTTGGTCCATTGGGTTCTCTAGGTACGATATCGGGGATATTGGCGCTATCATTGGAGTACAGGGCACGAAATTTCGACACGTGGCAAGGGGGCGAACCAGATTCAAGGCGATATCGGTTTGAAGAGTGACCTATAGTTAAGAATAGGCTTAAGGGTAGGTTGGATAGTAATTTGGTTGGTTAATAAACAGACTTGAACTCTACTTCTTCTGCTCACGACGCACGTTATCCTCCCCCTCTTCTCCAGGCAAGATTGATTTGGCTTCCCCGGCGGGTTAAGGCACGCGTGTTACAGGGACACAGAAGACCGATCTTGGATTGTTGGCCAAGATCGAGAAGAGCGATCCCGGGATATCTGGCCCGGATCGATCAAGTACTCACACTCAACTCAACTGCTAGGGTAGCAGCACACAACGGAAAAGGAAAGGATTTTGGACACAGGATCGCGAGACGGCTCAAGTGGTCAGAAGATCTGGACAAGGCGTTCAAGACAAGACCGAGCAGGATCGAAGCGATCCCCTGGACAGATCGGCACGTTTCATTTTGGCAAAACAAGACACCGATCTACCCAAATTGCGCACTTCCGGCAAGATCGGCCGATCCCAAGACCAGATCGGACCGATCCCAAGGCAAGATCGACGCAGGACTTTTATTTGCTGAGTGAAGATTTCCGCACAGCAAAGACCCCGATCTCGAAGACAAATCAAGATCGGTGAGATCCAAGATCGGGATCGCAGAACCCCCGTTCGTGGTGTGAAGATTTCCGCTCCGGAAGCGAACCCTCAACCCAACCTCTCAGCGAGATCGACATCTCCCAAGGCCGTTACGAAGAGCTCAAGCCAGCCCAACCGACGGGTACACAAGGTGAGCACAAGGTCATACAACAAGGCATGGATCGGAGTACCCCCTCCGTGAGTCGGCAAGTCTGGGCAAGTGGAAGATCGACACTCATACAAGCAATTTTGTGAGATCGACTTCACCACAAGAACGATCGTTGAACAGCGTTTGGCAACCTAATTAAGGCGCGAAATTCGAGTGACAGGAGAATACTGGATAGAAGCGGAAGCATAATTCCCTGAGGAAGAAGCTGTCACTTTTTCTGCCTGGGAGGATGCTGCCGTGCCGCAAAGGGTGGTCGATAATTCGAAGCAGAAGTGTGAAGAAAGTTCCAAAGTTAACGGGGCCCGTTTAGTGGACATGTTGGCGCACTTGTCTTGTTTGGAACAGCAGATCAAGGATATCCGCTAGCAAACCCGCAGCTAAAACGTGCGGCAAAGGTGTATATTTTAAACGTTCAATTTGCACCTAAAAAGGGGGTTTCTGCTTGACGGAAGACTTCCGCATAGCCGCCAAGGAAAGCATGTAAAACGCTGGTCGTTCCTGTGGGGCGAGGATGACCTTAATGATGTTCAGGACTTCCTTCGTGAACAAAAAGGTAATGTGGAAGTGCGGAAACTGGTGGACTGCATCAGCTCTGAAATGTTGCTGAAACTTGGATATGCTCCATCCCCGACAATTTCAGAGAGCACCGCCATTCGCTGGTTGAAAGGCCTTGGTCTTAAATACCGTGAAGTCAGAAAGGCCATAGATATGGACGGCCATGAGCGCGACGACTTTGTGGAAAGTCGAAAAGTATTTGTGGAGAAAATTGTTGAATTTGAGTCTTAGATGTCTCAGTTCAGTGGCGACATGCTGATGAACATCACATGACCAGAAGGAAAACCTTTAACTTTCATCACCCATGATGAGAGCACCTTCGCGGCCTTTGATGGACAACGTCGGTTCTGGTTGCCAGATGGAGAACTCCTACTTCAGAAGAAAGGAGCTGGACGATCGCTTCACGTCAGCGATTTTCTAACGGACGTTGGTGGGCGCTTAGCACTCGAGGACAACGACACAGACCTACCTGAAGGTTTCTTAAGGAAGGCTTGCGTGGGTATCAAAGCCGGAAAATCCACGATGGACGGTGGACGGCCGAAGACCTGGTAATGCAAGCAAAAGATTAGGCAACATCTATTTTTGAACGCCGATTTTCGGGGGCACATGCGATTTTTGCATTCGACAATGCCACCAGCCATACCGCGTTTGCGCCTGACGCCCTGATTGCAAACAAGATAAACCTTTTGCACGGGAGAAAGCAGCCAAAAATGCGGTAGGTTTCACATCAAGTTTGTCGTTTTATTCAGCGACAAAAAGATACCGTACTATGTGCTAACTGAATTATTTACTGCACAGGGCAACAGCGACGGGCAAATCCAATTTATGTGCTTCCCACAGGACCACCCTGATCCGGCTCTTAAAGGACAGCCTAAAGGACTGAAAATCGTGCTACAAGAGCGTGGTCTATGGAGAAACGGGTTGCGATTTGAATGCAAAGATAAGTGTGAGGACTCGAAGATGTGCTGCGCCCGTTCCACCCCATGGCCAAACAACCTGACTGTGTTGGTCAGGTCGGAATGATTGAGGAGCTCATCGTTGGAAAAGGCCACAAGATCATATTTTACCCAAAATTTCTTCAGAACTCAATCATATCGAAAACTTCTGGGGTGCGGCAAAGCGGTATGCCAGGACGCATTGCGACTACACGTGGCGTGGTTTACAAGAAACGCTGCCAAAAGCCCTGGACTCCGTCAGTATAACAGAGTCCCGACGGTATGCCCGTAAAGCGCAGCGGTACTGGATGCATACCAGAAATTTATTACGGGAACAGTTGCAGAATATGCCGTCAAGAAGTACCGTTCACACCGGGGCATACAAGTCACGGACCTCGATTAACGTGGTTTTGTCAGACAATTTGGATTTTCTATTAATTTTAATTGGAATTTTATCAAGTAACTCATCAAATAAGTGAAAAAACTGATTTCTTAGTTTATTTATCCTTGGCCAAATAATCCCTCGCCCACACAAAAATGCTCATATTGGCTAAACTCTGAATAGGGACTGCTCTATGAAAAACGAAGAATAATAAAATCCGATTCTATAAAACTGCTCCGTAGCTTCTCAGCTTTCATGTGTAGACACTTCTAATTGATTAGTGCAGTTTCTGGAGGCAAGTTCACAAAGAAGCTTACGGTGTTTTAGTTGCTGATTATAAGTGACTTGCACTGTACTTTGCACCCCTTACAATTTTGAAGTATAAACGAGTGTTTGGTAATCCTGAACATTCAACAAACATTCTTTTATACTTGAAAATTGTATGCTTGGTTTGGTCGTACACTTCTGACCGGGTGCCAAGTGCAATATGTGTGAACAATGCCACCAACACAAGAAATGGGGACGTTTCTACATGAATGGTATGCAAAAGTTTTGCATATAACATACTCAAATAGTAGCGTCCAGCTCGTAGTAGTTACAGAAATATGAGTAAAATATGGGTGGTCATACATTTATTCCTGGACTGTAAAGGCTACCTATTCTTCCACAGTGTGCTTCCTAGCCCTTCCTATATTGGTCGCTCGAAGCCGTATCAAGATGCAGTCACGTTGTGAAGCACAGTAGAATTACGGTGCTCTTGATCTACGAGATTCATCGATGTCAGCTGCGTGCTAGCAACAGCAGCTCAGCACAAAATGGGATCAACTGGCTTCTCAAGCAAACGAGCGATAAGACAACTGCTGGGTCTGAAATCGACTTGACGATCAGATCTTTTTTCGTGTTCAGCATTGCATGCGCATAGTCAGTCATCGGGAGTGCATAGTATGAGCACTCCGAGTGGCGTGCTCATTACCTTCGAGGCCTTGTGATCACGTGCGCTCAGCCTACGTCGAACTGGAGGTGGTCCGCTTTCAACAGCGGAATCGCAAACGGGCTTTTGTATTCGCAGCACATCCGCGACTGCACCGGTTTCCATGATGTCTCAACCCAACCATCAATATCAAGCACGCCATCAAAGCTTTACAACGACAACCTTTTCTCCGAGCTAAACGGTGTTTATACCCAACACTAACGGAAGTGGTTCAACGTCTTCAGAAGCGAGTTAACACGGCCGACGGGACGGGATACCCACTCCAAGAGCTCCCGACACAGCTCTGGGCTCACAGACACGCCTTAAAAGACTACCATGTCTGGGTCTGCTACCGGATCGCTTGCTACCCATCATTTAAATCTATACTACCCCCAGGCCGAGCACAAGACTCATCATGCTCACGTTCTATGACTTGTCGAGGACAGCATGAAGAATTGATTCATATTATCTGGGACTACGAGGGAGCGGCGAAGTGTTGGCCGTATATCGTGGCTCATTGGACCCGGATGGTTGTCCAGTCCGCGCAGTTACTCGTGTACAAAGCAGCAGTGCTATCTCGAACATCACCAGACCTACCTCCGGGCGTCAGAGCGGAGACCGACCGCCTGTTTTCGGACACGGCGGGAGAGATCGACAAGGCTTGGGTACGACGCTGGTGGATAGCGTGCTCCCTCTGCTTCGCCACCCTATGGGCCCAGCGGACCCGCTGGGTGCACAATCACGAGCGAACAACCGCTGACGAAGCGAAATCCGAACTACGACAAACACTGCTTTGACAGCTACAAGCAGTAGCGGTCAGATAAAACCGGGTTCCATTGCGATGGGGAGGACCGCATTTCTTCCGGCTCGCGACAGAACTTTTCTCACCCCGGTTTCTCCGTGATCGTTTACTCAAAAGGACCCTGGACGGCAGCTCACACCACCGTAGGGGTGCTCGAGCGGCTCGAGACTTTTCAGCAATCTTGTAAACGTAGCGGTAGTAAGACAGCCTGTCACTCTCTCTCACGTGCGCTCAAACTTTCTGTCTGCTACTTGCCTACAGCACTAAATAATAGCGCAAACGACTCGGTATCCACAAAAAAGGGCTAAAGCGCTCGTCGTGTTGAACACAGCACATCACATTCACTCACTCCTTGCGCGCGTGTTGCGTTGTCGTAGCCGGTAGATACTACATCGGATGAGACCTGCTGTGTTCAACACGACAACGAGGCACATCGGATGAGACCTCGTTGAAGCCGGTAGATACCACTTCGGATGGGACCTGCTGTGTTCAACACGACGACAATGCAACACGCGCGCAAGGAGTGAGTGAATGTGATGTGCTGTGCTGTGTTCAACACGACGAGCGCTTTAGCCCTTTTTTGTGGATACCGAGTCGTTTGCGCTATTATTTAGTGCTGTAGGCAAGCAGCAGACAGAAAGTTTGAGCGCACGTGAGAGAGAGTAACAGGCTGTCTTACTACCGCTACGGTTTGCAAGATTGCTGAAATGTCTCTAGCCGCTCGAGCACCCCTACGGTGGTGTGAGCTGCCGTCCAGGGTCCTTTTGAGTAAACGATCACGGAGAAACCGGGGTGAGAAAAGTTCTGTCGCGAGCCGGAAGAAATACGGTCCTCCCCATCGCAATGGAACCCGGTGTTCCCTGCAAGGGGATCGACGATCCCCTTGCAAATTCGGTGGGTGGACGGCGCTTGTCACCTCGGATGGCGGCTCCCTAGGTCCAAATCGGACTATTTGCTTACGCAAAGCAGATGTGCTCCTGATGGTTTTGTGGCAGCCCGCCAGTTCTCCCGCTTTGCCACGACTCGGAGCTATCGCATACCTCTATCCTATAGTCAACCACAGGTTGAGGAGCTCCGGGCGGCAGTCCTGACACCTCATTTCCAAATTCACCTTCACCTGCAGCCACTTCACCTGCAGCCCCTTCACCTGCAGCCCCTTCACCTGCAACGATAAGAAGCATGCGTGTGGTATTCACTGCAGTGGCCACTATGGCTGCTCTGCTTGCTTGCAGTGACTCGGTCCCGACGGCTGGTGAGCCGGAGGCTGTTCTCGAGCACGACGTCTCGCTGTTTGTGGCTCGTGGGACGGATGGCGACGCCTACGGAGAAGACGCGAAGAGGCTGTTGAGGGCTAGTGGAGACAAGAACGATGTGGTACCATCACTGGAGTCCGATGAGGAGGCGCGTACGGTTGTCAACACTGCCGCCATTGAAAAACTAGATACGGTCAGCACGGTCTTAGCCTCTGGCATGTTTGGGAAGGCTACGAAGCAGGCGCGCGATACTGCCGTACAGGCAGCTGCTGCCGCCGCCGACGAAATGGGAACAGTCACCAAGATCTTAGCTAGTGGCGTCTATGGGAAGACGACGAACGAGGTGAAGGACGCTGCGCGACTGAAAGCTTTAAGGCAAATGGCAAGCGACTTCATGCGACGATCGGTGAAGAGGACCCAGAAGGGTGCGAAAGGAGCGGGTGCAGAGCTGGACGCAAAGCAGCGGGCGTATATGAAGAAGATCATTGCGCTCTTCGACGAACTTGCTGCCGGTCTGACGGGCAAAGAAACCGCCCGTGCATTCAAAAAGGTCCCGGGCGGAACGCTCAAAAATACCAAGGAGGCGGATGATGGTGGTGTCCTAGCTGGTGGGGTACTTCGTAAGAATACCGAGGAGGCGGATGATGGTGGTGTCGTAGCTGGTGGGTTACTTCGTAAGAAAACCAAGGAGGCGGATGATGGTGGTGTCCTAGCTGGTGGGGTACTTCGTAAGAATACCGAGGAGGCGGATGATGGTGGTGTCGTAGCTGGTGGGGTACTTCGTGATAGTCCTGCTGCTTAGCCCATCCACATTGCCGTGACATCGAGACGCGAGCAACTTGTTGATTCCTGTTTCTGCTGTCAACTCATGTCGCAAGTAGTTTCTGGGTGCGATGTTGTGATGCGACGGACGATGGATCAGCGACTGCTGGACTCGAGGTGTCGGGTCAGCTTGCGCTTGTGTTGTTCAACACACTTAACATCGTGATGAATTTCGTTTCTTTTGCCATGAAGTGTCCAGTGCGTTTAAACTTGGGGAAGTATACATGCGTTTGCCCCCTAGTCCTCCTGATGGCTCGACATATGACGTGAGGTCCTTAGTAAGTGCTGCTTTGACCCCTTTGCAACATGTGTGCTGGTCTTGTCTGCGACGATCACACACACACGCACATGTCCTCTTATTCTTATCTGTGCTGCACACGTACTTGCACAAGTTCACAAGTCTTTCGTCCAGTTCCTGCCTATTTTTGGTACGCTTCCCTACGTCACGATGCAGACTCCTCCCGCGGCTTGGCATTCTATACTTCGGCTCTGTAACGCGCAATCCGCCACGTTTACCTGCTGTGGTCGACTGCATCATCTGCGCCTCACTGCTTCTCGAAGTCGTGTCTCGCGCGGACGCAGCTCTCACAACTCCAACCGACATGACAGGATGTCTGAAGTAGTTGGTTCCAGTCTTCTGCTACGACCCCTTGTCAGGTCTCGTGCGTGATCAAAAGCTCGTGAACAATACAACACGTAGCGGCATTGAGACATTGAATGTGGTATCGGAGTTCGTAAACCTGATGTTCTCGAGTCAACCTGTACACGAGCCATCGATTGCATCTCATTGCCTTCATGTCATTTTACATTGAGTTGCTCGTCGTATCGCGTCAAAGAATTCAATGAACCCCGACGCTGACTGCGTGAGCTAGCTAGCTGTCACGTCCTGCCAGTGATTTCACTATCACTTCTGGGTATCTAGCCTCGTGTCAGAACTAATTCGGAAGTAGACCGGCATTACGGTGGCAGCACGCGAACCTACAGCGGATGCTATACAAAAGTACGTCGTCGCGGAAGTCGACAGAGCTGTCGATAAAGAAACACACAACGATAGTACAAAACCAAGCAATGAAGCTCAATACCGATGCCGCTACAATTGCACAAGCGCGAGAAAGCATTTCGACTTCCTCGCGACAGATGTGACTGCATCGTCTGCAGCGCTTTCGACATTGCAATTTCGTATGATCAGACTTAGCGACAAGGATGTACTCGTGGACATTTTTGACGGCTCTACCGAGATTTCATGCCTCCGCTTTCCCGTCTTTTGTTGTGCAACTAGTCTCATCTCTATGGTATACCGTCCCCTTCGTTTCGTTGTTGCTACCACAAGCACTGTCAGGCACCAAAGAAACAAAGGGGAGCGGGACAGAAGCAACGGCGACATTCTAGGCTTCGTCATCGTAGTTTGAGACCGTCGTGGCATGTGCTGCATGGGTTTAATCGCTCTCGTCGTGTCAAGGGCAACAATAACAACACAAGCAACAATGCAGCTGCGTTGTAAAAACGGTCATCTCTGGATTACTAGAATAGTGGAGAAGAGAATGTAGCTGTATACATTGCATGACTAAGGGAGGAGCGTCACATTGCCTTTGTTTCGCACCTCATCTGGTAACCATTACCACGTCGCCACATTTTACGAGTACACGATGATACATGGCACTGGGAACTGTCAAGAGTGCTACGAACTCTTTATCTGAAAGCACCTGGTCAATAGTATGGTGCGGACGACGCTTACAATGATGCAATACGCGTTCGTTTTATTAGTTGAGGCACAGGCATCCGTCAACACAAGGTAGAAATGTTCATAAATAACGCAAAATGCAATGTGCAATCACGAAGACAGTTAAGACACCCAAGAATGTCAGCAACTAAAGTAGTAAGTTTCGTGAAGCAGCTCAACGCTCAATGGGCGGTCAAAACTTCGCTCTATACGGACGTCAATTCCCGCAGGCGGACATCTTGCCAACGTGATTGCCTATCGTTTTTGTCCCTTTACTTTACCTCGCGATTTTCGTCATACCGACAGCATCTTCGTTGGGACTGGGCTTTCCTGGGAATCGCTTGCATTTTCTATCTGGATGTATCCAACATACTGCATCAACCTGGTGCCAGCAGAGTCGTGTCAAACGATGTGACAGATTTGAAAGTTCGTTGTATCATGTGTAATACGAGTCGCTGCAAGGCCACAATCACTATCTATGTGAGCTCAAAAATTTACATTCGAGGTCGGTTGCTGGTCTTGAGTCATTGGTTACGCTAATCGTTGGCCGTCAGTGAATTTGCAGCTTGACTGGAACCGTAATGGATTTCAACGTACGCGCCAAAGTCGCTGCTGTATCTGATACATACATTGCATTGTACAGTGACATAGTCCGTGTGTCCGACCAATGACGATATGCGTCCCCAAAATTTACAAATCGTGAATAGCAACAAGGAGCAGATTAAAGCACGTGCACATTCCATCCAGCAGTAGCTCCCTGCACGTTCGCAAGTATACAAATCCGATTGCCAGCGGCTTACAACTTAGCCGACCCCACACCGGTCTCCACAGCGTACACTTGTCCACCGTCCGAGGCAATCACCATGCCACTGATCCACCCTGACGCCTTCGAAGACAGAAAAATAGCGAGTCCAGCCATATCCGCGTCCTGACCGAGACGCCCAATTGGGATCCTCGTCGCAAGGTCGTCCATAGCCTGGCCTGTAACCATTGAAATACCCTTCGACATCTTGGACGGCACTAATCCCGGCGCAATGGCGTTCACAAGGATATGACCTCCGTTTGGCCGACGCGCCAACTTTGCTGCCAGTACACGCGTCATGTGGTGGACAGCTGCTTTCGATGTGTCGTAGGCAATGGTGTCGATTGGCTGGGGCACGAGACCAGCCACTGAGCCAACATTGATGATGCGAGCAGCATCCGAAGTCACGGCAGCAGCATCCAGCAATGGCAAGAGGAACTTGATCAGATGGAACGGCGCGGTCACATTTACCGTCAAGACCTTGGTCCAAGCTAGTAGCAAATCAGTGCAATGCACAACCACGAACAGAACTCGTGTGAGACAAATCCTGCGGCAACACACGCCATTTCACATAGAGTTGCAGCGATACCAGACTCGGGGTGGTGGTCAAAGTCGCCTCCCCATGAGACACCCGAGTTGTTAATAAGGACATCAACTTGTGTCTCCTGTTTGGCAATAGCTGCTGCCAGCTGCTTGCAACCAGCTTCGCTCTGTAAATTAGCTTCGAGCTGGGTGGGTCCAAATGCATTAGAAAACACATAAAACTCGTCAAGTTTGTCGAAAAAAAGGACGCAATTTGCTTTATAACAAGCGGAAATTCGAGGATATTCCCTACGGCAAAGCATTGACCGGGGCCTCTGGCCGTGAGCTCCTGGGCCGTGACATTACACGCTTTCAAGTCACGTGAGGCAATGTACACTCGAGCTCCGTTCTGCACGAATCCATCAGCCATCATTTTGCCAATGCCGCGGCCACCGCCCGTGATCATCACCACTTTGTCCTTCACGTTGAAGAGGCTACTGAGACCGAGAGAACTCATGGAGAAATCGGTGCACGGAATGACGTCGAAAGGCTCCACTTCGTGAAAACAGTGTATGGCTTTAGTGTTTAGTTTGTATACTTAGTTAGGATACGTTTGTGGTGTGGCAGCATCAAATGCGAAACAGGTGTGTAAGTGTCTCAGAGATCGCACTTTATGTAGGAATTCGTGGGAGAATTGACGACTGTGTAGTTGAAAGGGCAAAACGGGACATTCACTGACAATATCTACAAAGGTTTTATATCGTACTTTATCAAAATGTATGATTGTGATACGTCAAAATATGCACCATTTTTCTAAATATTAGCAACTAGTAATATCCACAGGATGAAATTGCAATATCCTCCTCTTTAGATGGAAGGAGGGGTATGACACTGGCAATGTCTGTTTTAACCCTGTAGTGACTTGGCCAAAGAGTGACTTCGGGGGACAGGCTAGCTCGCACTTTGTACGAGAATGTACACCTTGTCGCGTTATTTACAGACCCGACAGACAGACAGACAGACACACAGACACACAGACACACAGAGAAGTACGATTTAAAAGTTCGGCATTCAACCTTGCGCAGTCACTAACAGCTTTACCCTTCGGACTCGCAATTAATTGTGCATGTCGAACGTAAACACGCAAATCAATAAGACAAACCCCTTCGCTAACGACAAGGCGATTTACGGCAGCTTCCGCCTAAATGGCTAGTACGCGCTACTATCACTAAGAACAAAATGATAAAGCTCGATGCTTACACAGCTCATTTATTCAAGGCTTCGCGCTGCATGATAGGTCTGTAGATCCAAAGCTTAGTTGTGTATCCGAGCGTGGCATCAGTGTGGTGAATTCCGGTCCAGTCACGGATCTGCATCAACCCGAAAAACGTACAGAGGCTTCGTCAACGCTTTGAAACGTGACTGATGGAAACCGCAGATTTAGTAAAACAAAACACAGACTTCCAGCCAGATGCAGTCCATATCGAAGTTATCGGAGGTTGTCACGTCCAATGTGGAATGTGCAAAAATCTCTATTCGCTATAGCGCACAACAGCGCATTGTACATCCGACAAAGTAATAAGCTTGTGCACTCAACACGCAAGCTTGAAGGACGAAACCAAAAATCATCAGGGAAGAGGTTCGCCACCTACGTCCGAGCTACTCGTGAGGTTGCATAATACGAAAGAAGCCATAGACTTTGCGGTGCCGAGCCGCCTACAACTTGGATGGACCCACACCAGCCTCAGCTGCTCCAACCATCCCACCATCGCTCGTAATTACTTGTCCAGAAATCCATCCGGACGCCTTGGACGCCAAAAATATCGCCAACCCAGCCATATCTGCGCTATCGCCCATCCGCCCGATAGGGATCGCTTCGCTCATTTGCTCGAAGTGTTTGCCCGTTAGATACGCGACACCCTCTGTCAACCTGGACGGAACGTACCCCGGTGCGATGGCATTCACGAGAATATGGCCGCCATTCGGGCGACGAGCCAGCTTGGCTGCCAGCACACGGGTCATGTGGTGAAGTGCAGCTTTGGACGAATCGTACACCATCGTGTTGATTTTCTGCGGCATGAGTCCTCCAATCGACCCAACATTAATGACACGAGCTGCGTCTGGAGAGGTAGCAGCAACGTCAAGAATGGGCAAGAGAAAGCGCGTCAACAGGTAGGCCGACGTCACGTTTAGCGCGAACGTCTCACTCCAAGCTACAACATGTGGAAACAAATATAACAAAACACACGCATCGATCCGAGTCGAATGGTCAGCAAAAAAGAAGGAGAAAAATTAAGAGCCCATAATTTGTTTATAAAAAATAAAATAAAATAAGACAGCGACTAAACCTGAGGCAGGAGTGTTCTCAACAGGAGTGTTAGCACCATCACCCGAGTTGTTCACTAGCACGTCAAGACAAGACTCTCGGTTGATAATCTCGTTTGCTAGAGCTTGGCACTCGAGCTCGCTCGTTAAATCCACTTGCAGCTGCAGATTATAACAACATGGAGGTTTTTTTTAAAAACCGTTGGAAGTATTTTTGACAGGTCAACAATAAGGTCTCACAGCAATGCAGACGCCTGGACCCGTAGCACTGAGCTCCTTTGCCGTCGCTTGGCAGACCTCGAGATTGCGAGATGCAATGTAAACTTTCGCCCCATTCTGTACAAATCCGTTGGCGATCATTTTGCCGATGCCGCGGCCGCCGCCGGTCACAAGCACGACCTTGTTTTTGACATTAAAGAGTTCGGCTCCATTAAGAGTGCCTGTCATTGTAACGACTGGTAATGAGAGGCGGAGTGCGAACTTGAAGGGGGTCTTTTTGACCGTTTCTAAGGCTGCACGCAGTAGAAACAGAGCAGACACGGGGTTTCTACTTTATGACACGCGTCGTCAATATTCTTATTCGAGTTCTAATCTTTCAGAGAAAAAGCACGTTTTGTCACTGACCACTTTTTTTTACTTCCAGAAACTCGTTTTCACCAAATTGTGCTGAAAAGAAGTATTTTTGCATTGTTTTAGGACTTTTTTTTTCGGGGATAACGAGTACTTTTTTTGTCATGCCTGCTGCGATCGTTTACGCTTGACATAGCGAGGCTAACTTGACTATAATCAGCATCATTTAAGCTGTAAACGCATTCAGAGCTAACGAGATTAAAGAGATATACCCGTACAACGAGACTACAATACCTGCTGAATGTTCTCTGATAATAATCAACCATATAGACACCTTGACTTTCTTCCTCATCTGACACGATTTCATCGTACTCAATGCAATCTTCGATAAGCTGAAATTGTATCGAATGGCCGACCGTTTTGGCCATTTGTCCTCAAGCTCAACTGCTCAACAAGTGTTCACGTGATCATACACTGTTCTCCGTTAGTGTACAGCTCTTGTACGTACACGCACTCGTTGGCGGTCACATCAACCTTCATATGTGCAATGGCAACTGTAATGACGTGGCTGTCGACAATCGCTATTATGTACTGGTCTTGGGCTGTCATTCCGCTGATCCGAAGAGACCATCCAAGATGATAACGGTGTCATGTTACCATGGAGCAAGAAGCGGCATATTGCAACAGCTAGTTTATTTTGGTCGCAGTACGCTTAAAGTCAAACCCTGGTTTCCAGTGAGGACCAAAGCACTGTTCCTTCTTAATCAGTGGTCGAGTACTGACTGCTATCCCTTCGTGGCACGGTGTCTGCAGCTAGTGGTTTTGCACGCAAATTCGGTCTTCGCATTGCTGTAGCAGAAGTGGTCTAGGATATTGACGCTATTGGTAACTTGCTGCATCGCTTCCAGCGAACATCGAGCTTGGACGTTGCTCTTGAGATCTCAGCTGCCGTCGAACAGTGTGCGTGTATTGGGAAAGTTTTCTATGTAGATTGGAAATCTCCGAGCACTTTTGATGTTTATAATGTATGGCCCGGTATATCCAATTCCGCTCAATCCGATCCATTGTATGAAGTCCCTCTAAATAAAAAAAGATGGTAAGTATTTCGAGGGGCGGGACAGAAGGGCCGCACGGTCGACGATTGCCTCGATACATCAGCGATCCGTGCAGAAAACACAGGAGCATTCCAGTACGGTTTCGTGTCCGCTTCGACGATTACAATTTTGCATCGGGTCGTATTTCCTTGGGCAACACGTGTAGTGGTGATGCCCACAACAGTCATTTCAATGCGGAAGGATTGCTACTTATCATGTTATCTTTCAGAGTGCATAGATGCTAGATCATGAGCTCCAGCATGAGGCTGTCAACGATAATGATCCACATCCACTTGTCTAGTCGTTGCCCGTGTATTATCTATGACCGGTCCACTTTCAACATCTTGCTGAGTAAAGATTGGTCCGATCGAAGACGATTGCAATGGCAAGACATTTGGTGGCTAATGAAGCCAAGTGCGCACACACGCAGAATTCTCATGTGTTGGTACACGAGGTGCGAAAGACGCCCAGCTTTTCGATTTTGCGAACCTTTACCGGCTACATGTCCGTGTCTAACGTCTTTGTTACACGACTATCGAATCCTAGCGTTTGCCAATATCGTAACTCGAAGAATTGTGCCGATTGTTCCGTCATTCTTCTGCAGCTAGACCTGACAAGTGCACCATCTCCACTGATACAAGCTTCCCACATGCGTGCCTTCTCGATAAGTACCTGACAGTAGTGCTCGTCTACGACGAACACGATACGCAAAGCGGGGCGGTGGATGGGTCCTGCGGCTGAGCATACACGAGATCGCGCTCGTCACGAGGTTCGTCAAATGGGTGCGTCACCAGCTCGTAAATGTGCTCAACGCCATCATAGTCGCCTTGGTGGGCCAAATCAATGGCCTTTTGAGCGACGTGGTTGCGTAGCACAAACAACGGGTTCACTCGAAGCATTCGACTACGGCGTTCAGCATCACTGGCAGCAATGCCTTCATCCTTGATTCGCGAAACATAAACATCGATCCAGTCTTTCCACGCAGTACGAACACTGCTCAAACGTTCGTCGTCCGTGGTCGCGTCCAGAGTCCTCTTTGCCTCGCGAGTAGCTTTCATCTGTGCCAGGAGTGCAGGAGTAACGCCGTATTGACGAGCGCGTCTAGGATCATTCTGAAGCAGCGTCGAGCACATGTTAATCTGGGCATCCGAAATCCCGCTAGATGCCTGCTCCAATTTGCGCTTCTGCTCAGCCAAAGTCTCAGACACTGCCACGAGCTGGTCTAGCGTTTGTCGATGAGACCCACCGGAATCGTAAGCGTCAAGCTTCGACAGGATACGAAAAGCGCAAGTAAAATCTGCGCCTGTATGAGTCAACACATCAAAAAGCGTATTCACAAGCGCCTTGTCCTCGATGCACCCACGCTGAGCCGACAAGCCCAGTTTTTCGCGCATCAGGCGCATATACTCTTCTTCATAAATTTCATCAAACGCTTTCAGACCAGGATCAAGCTCCGCGCGGTCTGTCACGAGTTCAAGCTGATCAGCTAGCACTGTACAATTCCACTTGCAGATTTCAGGCTGAGCCTCATAACGGTAGCGGCCTTGGTCATCTGACGTGTTGCAGATATGTTTTGGATCAAAGTGCTCCATGAAACCGAACGGGCCGTAGTCCAGCGTGTCACCCACGATACTCATGTTGTCCGTGTTCAGCACACCATGACAGAACCCAACCGTCTGCCACTTTGCCACCAATTTAGCCGTGCGACGCACGACCTCGTTGTAAAACTGTTTGTACTTCTTGTCACCATTAATCTCCGGAAAATATTGCTGAATGGTAAAGTCCAGCATCCGCTTCATCATCTCGTCTTTGTAATTCAAGTGGGCGCTTGGTCCGGCGCGACCCGACAGCTGGTCGTGCTCTTTAAAAATCTCAAAGCTGCCAAATCGCAAGAAACTTTTGGCGATTCGCGTGACCACGGCCGTTGGCTCCATCTTGGCGTTGCCATTGTAAAAAACGTCCCTCAGCACCTGCGTCTCTCTGGATACCACGACACTACCTGCCCGAGTCGTTGGCACTCCCAATGCAGACATGTGTTCACTGCAGAGAAACTCTCTCAGCGTCGACCTCAGGACTTTCCGGCCATCTGCCGTCCTGGAATAAGGCGTGAGCCCCGACCCTTTCAGCTGCAGCTCCCACCGGTCGTTACTCTCGCTCACCACTTCGCCTAGATACAGAGCAGCTCCATCTCCCAACTGGCCCGAGAAGTACCCAAATTGGTGGCCACAATAGCACTGCGCAGCAGTCTCCGAGCCCGGTAATAACTGGTTTCCAGCCAATATCGGCACAAGCAACTCAATGGACTGAAACGATTCGTCCTCGTTCCCCCCACTGTCGTCGTGGTCCCCAGTATCAGTTTTGAGGTTCGAAGCTGTTTCTATCAAGTGGTCCGTGAGCTCCAATCCGACCAAACCAAGAGCAGAAGGAGAAACGACCACGAGCTCGGGACTGGCGATGGGCGTGGGCGTCACGCGGGAGAAACACGCGCCAGGGACGGCACTGCGCACGCCGCTGCGAGGCTCAGCGTCCAGTGGGAGTTCTCGCAGCACGGCGTTGTCGAATCTGGACGTCGGGACGCGTCTCCAGCCGCGAGAAAAGCCGAGGCGGCAGGCGGTTTTGCCCATCTCTCGGTGCTTGTGGGTGCGCTGGTTCGTGGTAGTTGACGCCTGGGACCCCTCAGGTCTCTCGGAAAGTGCTCCAAATTAAATTAGATTAACTTAAAGGGGCGAGGCGCGTGGCGTCGGTTCTGGACAAATGGCTGCACGAATTGGTATGCTGGATCATGGGACCGTTATTCAGCCCTGCTTACTTTTCTCGCGCAGCTCCTAAGACCGTCTATTTGTTGATGTAATTTTTGGTTCTCATCGCGGCTTCTCGTAGAGAGGTAGGTTTGTGTGGCCGCAGCAATTTGTTACATACCAGTACTCGCGTCGCGGTGTTTATCATGTTGCATCCTTTTTGGACGACGTCTCAGCTGTGTTTGTTTTCTCTTGAAACGCACTGAATATCCGTCCACTACTATTTCAGCTGGCATACGCTGTCTGTAGAAAGAAGCAAAGGCATCAGCTGATGCGCCGCACAACAATAGGATGGTGTTGCTATCAATGCACGAAGTGGTAAGTAGTGAGGAGATGGGTAGGCGAAGAAAGCTTCGATCGTTTCCTGGTTCCGCTCAAACCCACCAGGTGATATCCACCTGTCTACGGCATTCTCTAGCCGCAGCACGATGTATCTCGTCAATATTAGCATACAGCGACAATGATCTAGTCGGTAGTTAGTGGTGATTGATATTACACCACGTGACGAAGCGCAGCCAGCTGCGACTGCTTGCAAACTATACCAGTGGATTCGCTACCCTCCACAATGACTATCTTTGCGCTCATGCGTTCTGTCATCATGCGGCAGCAGTATCTGTCGAATAGTTTTACCAGCATTGGCAGCTCGAACATTGAGTTTACTTCGTATTGTGGCTGACACCATGCTCATCTGAATAAGGCCAGTATGAAAGAAAATTATACGAGCTTGTAGACGTGGCAGGCCAACGAGTTCATGCAATGACCTAAATTTTAAAATATATTGTCGCTATTCGGATGATCGATTCTATGCAACGCCGACGATGATTGGTTCCTCAAGTAATAGGCCACAAGACCAGAACCATCATCCAGAATAGTTGGCAGCTGACGATTTAGACATTGATGTAGATCAGGCAGCTACGTAATTTCGTTACTGCAGTTTTCAATTTTCTTCGTAGGTTTTTTTTATCTTTGACCGTTGCATCGTTTCTTATCAACCGCAAGCCGAAAAACAAAGTTCAAGCAAAAGCGAATGCTATACAAAAGTACGCAGTCGCGGAAGTCGACAGAGTTATCGACATTTTACGAGGATACAATGATATGTGACACTAAGAACTGTCAAGAGTACTACAAACCTATAACTTGAAAGCACTTTGTAACGGGGTGAATCGTTACATAACAATTTACAAGAAGTTGTTAATAGAATATAACTATAAGAGTTATATTCTCAGAATATTGTCGTAAGGACAAATATTCTGTAGCACTTACGAGTAGTTCCTAATAGGTTGATATAGGCCATTATATCAACCAATGAAGACGTGCCACGACAGACGCACGCAATGAGTGGTGAGCAGGTAGTTGATATACACATTTGTATTCAGACATAGTTAAATGAGGATAAATAGTGATCTATCAACAGACATTAACTATGATAAATACAGTTCTACTTTTTACTTAAACTAAGTACTCGCTTCTTCGTACAGTCTACCCCTGCACGCACCAGTGTACGTGAAGTTACGCGGCACCGCCTTATTCTGTCATTAGAATAAGTAGCTTGCACTGTCACCAGTACAAGCTTAAGGGTGCCCCGTTACACCTGGTAGCACTTTGTAGTCCGTCCAAGGACCACGTTCACATCTAACATGAATATGTTAGATGATGACCAAAGCCTTCACGCTACGCGTGACGGCTACTCCCATTTGAGCAATGTCGAATGGGATGCGGTTGAACGGATGGGTTCAACCATGGGCATCCATGCTGTTAGCGTCATGCTAGAGGCTCTCAATAGAGATGCCCAACATGCTACTATCGCCAAGTTCATTCAAAATGAACTTTACGCTGAACGCGAGAAAGTAGCCTTGCTTCACCAACAAGGTTCTCAGCAATCAGAGTTGTTGAGAGAACAGGGTGCTCAACAGTTTGAACTGTTGAGACAGCAGCAGGCTGCTGCTGGTGGGTCGATGCACTCGCGTCGACCCGAGACCTTGAAGATTGACATCTCCAAGTATAGGGGAGTCGAAGAGGACTCCTTCTTGAGATGGTTTGTCGAATTAGACGACGCCATAAGGGCGCGTCGCATCGACGATGGGGAAATGCAAGTTGCATTTGCCCAATCAAATCTGGCAGGACGTGCCAAGACTTGGGCTTTGGGACTCAAGTTGCACGACCCATATGCGTTTGGGTCGTTAGAAGGCTTCAAGGCGCGACTCAGACAAACGTTTGAACCGCCTTGAGCTGATTTCAGAGCTCGAACTGAACTATTGAAGCTCAAACAAGGTAAGCGTGATGTGCACGCTTACGCACAACATATACGACATCTCACGAGTTGTATAAGTTCCAACCCGGTTGATGAACACACGGTGGTTTCGGTGTTCATGCAGGGTCTTGCGGATGGTCCCGTCAAGACTCACCTGTTCCGACTTGAACTAGATTCACTAGAACAAGCCATATCCATAGCGGAATAGGAAGACTTCAGTCTGAGACAGGCTCGCGCCAGCTCGACATCATATCGTCCACCGAGACGATATGACAGCGGAGAGTCCAGAGCCGATGGAACTTTGTTATGTAGAGAGCGAGAAGGCTCGCTCTACAGACTACAAGAAGTTGCAGAAATGCAACAGATGTCAAAAGATAAGACACAACGCTTACGAGTGTAGTGCCCCTCGTCCAGTGTCTCGCAACACTGGGCGTAATGACCGTCCACCCATGAGAAAGGGGCAGGGACGCGGGTCCGCTGTTGGTGCAAAGACGCAACAACGGGATGGACCGTCAAAAAACGGGCAGGATCAGTAGGTGCGGAGCACCCTACTGGTCCAGCAACGTCAAGAGAGTTTGTAGGCCTCTTGATGAAGGTTGCTCCCAACACACAAACATTGTGCGTTGCTGCACTAGGTAATGAGATCTTACTCATTACCTTTAAACTCGAAGTGACGAATAAGTTGTCTCTTCGAGCTCTAGTTGATTGTGGGGCGTCCAACAATTTTGCGCAACGCCAATTGCTAGAAGATGGTCACTTCAAGTTTGTTGGATGTGACACACCTCCTACGAGGATGACGGTACATCTTGCGACAGGCGCATCCGTAACCGTCATGAAGCGTATAGTGAAGATTCACTATACGCTAGAAGATACCCAATATGACGATGACCTTATCGTGTTGGATTTGGATGACAAATTTGATGTCATCCTTGGAATACCGTGGCTCAGAAGGTACGAACCACGAATTAACTGGCAACATCGAACAGTAACGATGCCTGCCGCTTGTTCATCAGATGGCCATCTGATGAACGTTTTGTAGCGTCCACAAGCGTGTGGATGTACTACGAGTGAGTGCGATGGCCTCACTTGTGGTACGGTCGTTAGTACGACTGCACAAAACCTTAGTGTAACAAACAGTTGCACTTCGGAGCAAGGTTCCGGCGGCTGTGAGGAAACACAGGCTGCGCCGAAGGTCCACCACTCGAATAAGTCGAGTGGACCGGGACAAATATATATCCCTAGCGGGGAACATCTGGAAGAGAAACAATCGATCGCTCAGGTTAAGCGAAACGATAATCCTAGATCGACTGGAGAGTCTTTCGTAGAGGATTTCGCTGTGGTTGCGCAACCACAGCTAGAGGAAGTTAAGGGAATAAGTGCCGATATTACAAATACGGCGGAAATAAGTTCCCCGAAACCCGCGGGAATAAGTCCCCGTGAAGCCAAAGGAATAAGCCCTTCGAGGCCTGAGGGAATAAGTCCCCAGGAAATGACAGCGACATTGAATGTCCTAGTCAATGATGGATCAAGTGTGGGCGCTTACACACTTGATCTGATTGCGCCTCCGAAGTTGACTTCGGAGATCACTCAGTTGCCAACGCCCGAACATAAAAGTTCTTGCGTGATCTGCGTAGTGGCAAAGTCAAGCAGATCCGTGTACTCGTCGCTGACGACGAGTGTGTAGCCGACATAAGGTAAGCATCAATGTTTACTGAGAACGAGAGAGTTCTCAGTAGTTCATCGATGGACGAGAGTGTCCTCGATGAAAAGACACGAGTTGAGCGATATGACTCCCAATCGTGGGAATCGCTCAAGACAAATCCTCTCTATAAGGATTTGGTTGAATTCAAGGATTTATTCCCTGAAACTGTTCCGTGCGAATTACCGGAGGATAAAGGTACTCGACACGAGGTCGAGCTTAAACCAGGCTCGAAGTACTGTGTCATGAAGCAGTGGCCACTGCCTCGTGAACAAGTACTTGCGATCGACAAGTTCTTTGCCGATCGTTTAGCTGCGGGCCATGTGAGGGAATCAACTTCCCCACATAGCTCTCCGACCTTCTGTGTGCGAAAAGCAACAGGAGGGTGGCAGATAGTGCATGCATTCAATAAATTGAATGCTGCAACGGTACCGGCTCAGACACCGATACCAAGGAAGGACGTAATCATTGATGGTATGTCAAAGAGTACCATCGTTTCGTCCATGGATTTGATGGATGGCTTCTATCAAATCCTTATGCGAGAACGGGATATACCCTATACCGCAGTGAGCACGCCTAGCGGCATGCTCTAGGAATGGCTAGTAATGCCACAAGGGCTTAGTAATGCCCCTGCCACGTTCAACAGATGTGTATCACATCTGTTGAGACCAGTACGAGAGTTCGCGCCGAGTTATTTCGATGACGTATTCATCCATAGTCTAGCTACGGATGGAAAGTCGGATGTTGAGGTTCACAGATACCACGTCCGACAGGTTCTTACAATCATGCGAAAGCATCAATTGTATGCTAATCTCAAGAAGTGCATATTTGCAGCAAGCGGAATACCACTTCTTGGGTGCATCGTTGGTAAGAACG